AAATTAAATCGCACCATAAATGCAAATTAATTACGCCGGTAAAAAATATCATTGATATTGAAATTATCGAGGAAGGGATGTTAGACAGCAAACAATTCTAATTGGAAGTCTTTGTTTATTATTTCTTTTAGAGTGATCATGAGAAGTTATTTCCAAAACTTGTGCTTTGTGTTTCATCGGGGTATCCAAACACCTCGAAACAAATAAAAGCACTCAGCCTACGGCCTCGTGCTTTCATTTGTTTCTCGGTGTTTGGATACCCCGATGAAACACTCGCTCTTGTTTTGGAAATAGTACTTCACAAACTGAAACATTTTATAACAATTTTGTACAAACTTAAATGGTTTGGACTTAATTCTCAAGAACTGCATGTAATGCAAACGGTATTGATTAAAAACTGCAAATACCATCATGGATGAAAGCCCCCTCACAATCCCAATACTGCATTCTGCAGTAACCTAGTTGCCGAGTGGCTAATACTCTTGTCATTCAAAATGTCATGTAATATGAAAAGCAATGCATGCCCGTGCAAAAATGTTGTAAAACGTGATGCTAGTGGAAAGAAAGGCATGCTGCCCAACTGCAAATGCCTTTTCAAGTAGATGGCAGCTAATTTTGCTCATATCCAGGCTGAAAATGTTCACAATGTCCAAAATATGTGTTTTTGGCAAAAAGCTCCGCAGTCAATGGGTTAACCACGTAAGTAACTTATTTGAAAATGAAATTTCAAATTTCAAATGAAAACAAATGAATAGCTGAGTGTGTTAAACCCAATGGTCTTTACTCCATTTTATAAAATTATTTTGCTGCTCTGTGAACAGTCAAGATGAATAAAAGATTTCCTGCAATTTGATTAGTTTTTCAAGTGATACAGGTTGTTTCTTTTCATTCAGAGTGTTCACACAAGTTAATGTTTTTAATTAGTGGTGTTTTCTATGTAAGAAAAAAAGGGGGTTTAGTCAAGCCTTGTTTGGTCTATAATGGACACACTTAAAATTAAGTCACCACATAAGTTGATTTTTAGATATGAAAGTTAATTGAATCATTTGTAGAGAATTTGTCAAGAAGTTATGGGAAATTGAGGAGTTTTTCAGGAGAGATTCAAAATAAAGGTCTTCAAGGATATTTAGTTACGCTCTAAAAATAAATACAACAACGTAACGTGCATCCCAGTTCACTTGAAGCCAGCACAGAGTTTTGCATACATGTAAAAATTGCAAAAAACTAACCAACTTTCATTTCAGATTTTCAAGGTAGAAATTACAAAATAAAACGAAAACATACCACATGAATTATGTACTTTACACTCTTCCTTGATGGTTTCTAGTTTTACAGTTGTAGATTTGCAACACTCTTGCACAATAGAGCACTGTAGTTATCAATTAAGTTATAACATGACATGAATTTGATTGCAGATCATTTTTGAAGGTATTGCTGGGACAGGATATTATGGCAGTGATGTGTCAATTGATGATGTATCTGTCTCACATGATACAACATGTGTCTTTACTCCTGTAACAGCTAGACCAACACCCCCAGTGACACCTATAACCAGTAAGTTAAGCATGAAATTTACCAAATGAAGATTTTATATTATCATAGGAAACTGCTGTCTGTGAATTGTACTAACCACTCCTCAAAAGTAGAAATTTTCCTGTAAAAGAAAAACAAAATTAAACACAAAGAAGGAAATATTTGGCTTTTTCACTGATACAGATGGTAAAACAATAATAAATTGTGTTGTGCCAGTGCAAGTGAATCATAGATAACATCTATTTATTGCTTGGCTAAGACTTTTTTCAATAAACAGAGAGTTCTTGGGTTCCATTTTTCTGGCTATAGAACTGTTTTCTATCGATTTCAGACAATTTAAACTTTGGCTAGGTACAGACGGAATTATTTGATGTTGGTTGAAAAGTCAACAAATGTAATTGAATTAAATGGAAAAGCCAATGAAATTTAACTGTTCCCATGGTCAACATTCCCCAAAGGGAAAATGTGAGCAGTTGTTGTGAGGGTAATGGAAGATAGTGGCAATGTCAAAATACATTAAATTAAGGGGTTTTGTCCTTGTTGAAGTGAGGAAATAATATTGTTCGAAATGGTGTGATAATTACAAGGTAAAGGTGACGTGAAGATCAGTAGAAGAACTGTTGCAAAGGAGGACCAATTATTTTGTCGATCACAGTCAAAATATTCCATATTTGTATTCCAAAACTTCACCAGCAGCACCTCGATTCCATCAATTGAACCCTTGAGGAAAACAATGAACTGAACTATCAGTTAAGTTGAATTGACCCCGCTGAACCCTGCAATTTGCCAACAAAAGTATACAGTGCCAGTGTTAGCTAGCGGTCAAGAGAAAAAGGGGAGAGCTAGTCGGCTTGATTTGATGTCATTCAGTCCTATTGAATTAATAATAAATATAATGTCCCACAATAGTGTGAGTGGAAAACACAGTAAAACTTTCTGAGAAGAATTTGCATAAGTTCGTAATTATGATAATTTTCTTTTTGACTAATTGATTGAGTGAGGTGCTCGTGCTACACTATTGATGCACAACCAAGCCTATACCCTGTTCACACTAACATGATAAACACGTTTAAGAGTGATTTAACTAAACAAGGTTAAAATTAGTTGCTCATATCGTGCACACCCGCCAAGTAAACCTGGTAAAACTTGTTTGATTAAAAGATGGTAGCAAGGTGGTTTGAAATTTTTCTTCTCAAAATGACTGCAAAGCGGAATCGACGAATTGCAGAAAACCTTAACCTGATTTAGTTAAACTAGTTTAGTTGGTGTGAATGGGGTACTAGTCATCTGAGGCTTTTCATGTTTTCTTATATTAATATGCTCTCAGTAGGTTTGAAATGTAAGAAAATGAAAGAACTGATGTGTTGCCTCAATGTCCAATCAAATTAATTTGCAGTTTTAGTTGCTACCATGAAGTCTCCAGGAAAATTTGAAGAGTTTCCATACCACAAACCTTTAAGGACATCTTTACTAAAAATTCCCTTTTTACAAGTGATAGTATAGCAAGAGGGAGGTATAGCTTTAGTGTGGGAACTCACTTGGTTGATGTGTCATAAATTTTTTGGGGGTGGTAATTCTGCTGATTGCTTTTTCTTTATTATAGAAAACAAACTGATTCCATGTTGCCGTGCTTTTGCTTTTTGCTGTGCTTTTGTTTTGCTTGTGCGAAATTTTGACTGAGATCTCGGCAATCTCAGCAAGATCTTGGCGAGTTTTTGGCCACCAAGATTTTCATATCTTTCTGAGATCCCTGAGATTCCCAGCAAGAGTTTCAAGAAGGGTGGTAATTCTGTTGATCACTGTTTGTTTATATCAAAAACAAATTGATTCCATGTTGCCGTGCATTTGTTCAGTTATTGCCTGTGCAAATGTTTGACCAAGATCTCAGTGAGACCTCGGCTTTCGGCAAATCTCAAGATATCAAAATCTTGGTGTCCAAAAACTGGCTGAGATCTCGAAGATCATCATATACGGTTTAGAAAATCTTAATATACAGTTTCAAACAATTTCACCTTATTCCCTCTGGGATCAACTAAAATAGTTTAACTACTTCTGTGTATTACAGAGTACAATGATACCTTAATTTAGACATGACAAATATTTTTCAAACAGCACTTCGATTGGCTGGATCAAAGATGAAATCAGCAGGTCGTGTTGAAGTCCTCCATGGGACAGGAAAGCTGATGAAGTGGGGAACAATCTGTGGTTACCAATTTGACATTAAGGCTGCCCAGGTAGTGTGCAAAGAACTGGGCTACAAGGGAGCATTAATGGTTGTGCCATGTTGTGAAGTGTTTGGTAAAGGAATAGGACACATCTGGATGGAAAACGTGAAATGCCTTGGTAGAGAGCCATCCATCACCATGTGTCCTCACAGTGGTTGGGGAAAAACTCACTGCAGTCATGATGAAGATGTGGGAATCATTTGTGAAACTGAACATACAGACAAAACTGGTATGGTATCACAAGGAGTTTATTCTAATATGCAGCTGTATTGAACCCATACGTTTTCATATACCTTTTTTAGTCAAATAGTGACGGCCAGTGTAAAACGCAGACTGCAGACTGTGGATCATGGGTGAAATGCAGACTAACTGAATGCAGCCTAAATGGAGACAAACTGAATCGTGTTTCCATTTCTACCATTGAGAGCTAACTGTAAACAGGCTAACCAAAGCATTTTTTAGGCTACTCTGAGTGGTATTCAGGCTAACCAGAGCACTATTCAGGCTAACTGGAGTGCAAATTTTCCATCCAATTAGCCTGAATAACCCTGATTACAGTGTTAGCAGTTAATAATGGAAATAGCAGGATGTAATATACTAAAAAGTGTGTAGTCTGCAGTCTGCATTCTACCCATAATCTACATTTTATCCCTGGTCCGCAGTCTGCATTTTACACTGACTGAAATAGTGGCTGGACCAGTGTGGACCAGATCAGTGTGGTCTGTTCACAAGTGGGGGTGATCTCACTTGGTAAGTTGCTGGGCATGGTGCTATAGACTTAATTGAGGGGCAATGGTGGTTTGTTGCTGAAGTTGTTGTGCTCCATATAAATCTTGGGTGCTTACCATATACATTAAACCACCCAGATGGAAAATTCCCTGTCAATGGTAATGAATTTTCCACCCAGATAGAACAGGGCAGCGAGTCGTGAACCTTCAGCAGCGATCTGAACGGAAACTTGAACCCCCATTAAGAGCTGAAAGCGGCTGACTTACTTTGTTACTGTGGCAACAGCTGACACGAGATACCAAGAGGTCTGCCACAGTTAGATCTCCAAGGTTCTAACCACAAGGCTTCTCTTTTAGACTTATTCAACTGTAAGACTTGAGATGGCTCCAAAATCAGCTAGCATGGTATGCACATTTTCAGTGCTCATCAGATTTTTACGTATAAAAGAAGTGTCGTCAGCAAACTGACCCAGATTAATTTCCTTCTTAAAAAGCTTGATACCTTGAATATGGTGTTTCATTTTGGAAGCTAGCCACCAGAATAAAGAGATATGGCGACAAGGGGCAGTCTTATCTAACACCTCTTGACAAGGGTATTTGTTTTGTGTCAACATCATTGTTAAGAACAGAGCTCTCAGCATTACAGGGAAGGTTTGAACCCAACGTTTTATACTATCACCAAAGTTAAACTTTGACAAGGTTTGTTGAATTACTGGCCACTCAACTGTGTCAAAGGCTTTCCTAAAGTCCAGTTGAAGCAAAATGCCAGGAACTTCTGTAATTTGGTTTGCTCAGGAATGTCATTGATCAATCTAATATTTTGACCAGTAAATCTATCTTTCGAAACTGGATTGGTCAGAATGTATTAAAGCAGGAAGGACTTTTTCAATCCTCGATGCTATAGCTTTTGAAGCAAGTGTATAATCCACATTTAATAGAGTGATTAAGCACCAGTTTGATAGCTCAAGGAGCTTTGAGTTGTCTTTTGGGATCAGTGTAATAGCCCCTCTCCTCTGAGAAATGGGCATTTCCCTGTGGAGATAAGCTGCTTTGAGGCTTGCAAGCAAATCTGAAGCAGAAGTGCAAAGACCTGAACATGAAACTCAATTGTGAAACCGTCTTCCCCAGGGGACTTCCATTACTGAATTTTTTAGAGTGTGATGACATTCTTCGACAGTTAATTCACCTTCCAGAATACTAATATGGACTTCACACAATTGCAGCAAAACAGCATTTTCAACAAAATTGTGATCAGTTCTTTGGAACTAAAAAATTGAGAGGTGTTCAGATCTCCTCAAAAGTTCTCGATTTCTTTTAGTTTTTTGCCATCATTAATGACATTTTATTTTCAGAGATCTTCAGTGCGAAACAAATCCATGTGGGAGCCAGTACAGTTTGAAATTGTGATTTCTAACTCTGCCAACTGTTTTTCTTAATTCTCAATATACATATATATAATCTTGAGGCCCTAACTTTATTTTTTATGAATGGAATAATAATACTTCTCAATTCCATCTTGCTTAATTCCCATCTTAAGAGTCCCTGTCCATTAAAATGGAAAATAACTCGGCAAGGGTCGAAAATTTGATTTCGCTCATATTTTCATGGTAGATAGGCTAGGGCATGATGAAAACTACCGGATAGTTTTTTTGGCAAAATATCCTTTATTTCAAAGAAATAGGCAAATTACCAAATTCCGTTAAAATTGTCATTTGACGCACCATTTTATCAAGCAAGTTTGATAGCCTCGCATGCAAAACCACATCATTCTTCCGTCTTTAAAACACTCAAATATTTTTGTGTAAT